GAACGTCTCCCCCATCCAGGGGCTTCAGGAGTTGTCCGGGGCATGGGACGGATAAGCAGACATTCGAAATTCACACCAACGTCGTTTGAAGTTGATGGCCGACCGAGCTTCGACAAGACCGAGTGGCTTGAGGATGCTTTGCGATTCGGGGAGGGTCATTCTGTCGATGTACGGACTGCGGCGTCACGCATGTCCAGAAGCGGGACTCGCTGCACATCGTGGGCACGGGAAGCCCATGGTACTTGGGAGTACGAGTGAGAGAGTATGCCACTGCACCCGACAAGCAAGCAAGGTGATAAGTACGATCGGAACTGATCATAAACTATGTGTGCCCACGCTACCCTCGAACGTGCTCGAAGGGCCGTTATACAATGGACGAGTCCTGCACGAGGTAGGTGTCCAAGAAGACTGGGGTCGCTCGCTGCTTCACTGTGAATCTGATCCTCGAACACGCGTTGATACTCAAACACGCCGCGCTGTTCAACCTCCGTAGTCGCGAGAATAGACGCACACAATTCCCGCACAATTCCTGGGAAGCCGGATGTGATTTACCTGCGTCCAACAGAACCAAGCTCTGCTACCATGGCCAGAACGGTGGTCTTGGAGAGATTGGTACCTTGCATGGATTTCGTATAACGAACTGCTACAATGAAGCAACTGGCGGCGGTGAAATGGGTAAACAAGAGGGACAATGTATTGAGGCTGTAGAACTACAACTCAGTATTGAATTGTTTGAGAATGCGCGGCCCAATTTCGCAAAAGTGTTCGATATCGTAACCATGTGACGTGTTTCCTCAATGTCAAAACGTAGCTCGGTGCTCGCTGCGGTTTTCACCACCAGCTTGCACCCACACATCCAGCTGACACGCGCATGCCTGTCGCACGCGCGGGCTTGCAAGCTGGCTGCGGCGATGACATCGACGACGACGACGGCAGCCGCATCTTCAACTGTCACTATCATCCTCTCTTCCTTCTCCTTATCCCCCTTCCTTTTCATCCTACTCTTGTAGAAACGAGAATGAGGTTTGAGCAAAGTTGGAGTTGTCAAATCCACACACGCAACTTGGTTTGCAGAACCTATGCGGCGGCGAGTGCGATGGTTTTGGCTGACGGATCGTTGCGGCCGTGCTAGAGCGCGCAGGCTCGCGCGCAGAGCGGCCAGCCAGTCTAGCGCGACCGACGCGGCCGCGGTGGCGCTGACCACAGGAAATGTACCAACGCGTCTCGCAAGCCGCACTGACGCGCAAGCACTTCAGTGCGAGTCGGTGGCTCGGGCGGGCGCGGTATCATGGCGACGTCGTCAACGGCAGACACGATAGTAACGATGCTGGTGACGATGATGACGATGACGATGGCAAGGCCAATCAATGACGGTGGCGATGCTGATCACGCCGACGACGATGATGGTGTCCACGTGTCGGCGACGAAAGTTGTGGAAATATCTCGACATGCGCGCGCGGCCGGAGGGCGCGAGCGGCCCGCATTGTATGATTTGACAGGGATCGTGCCTCCCCCAGCAAGCGCGCAGGGGCATTCGAATGATTCCGACATGCGCACGCGAGAGGCCCGTTTGGTCGAATTGGATCACAATTTTGACAAGGGATGGATCTCGCAAGAATTCGCAAAAACGTGCAGATGTCTTTGAACAGTCACGTTGCAAAACCATTGGTGTTTTATATGTTTTCGATTTTGACATTCATACGAGACCGATGGTTGTTCGCAAGATTTCGGCATGCGCTCGCGACCACGCGCGCAAGAGAGAACTCCTCCATTTTTCCCGAAGTAGTTGCAAATGAGTGATTTTGAATAGCAACTGTTGTAAGGGATGAGGGGGGAATTACTGGCCTGCCTGGGATGGGGAGAACTCGTTTGACAAATGAGCGGTGGGGTGGAATCGTATGCAAATTGCACGTCCCCAGGGTGGACGGATAAGTCTGGGGAGGGAGAGAGGGAGGTAGATGCTCATTCCTCGTTTAATCGGAAAATCTATGTGGTGCAGTCCTTGTTGCGGCGACGAGGCGGCGACGGCGACAACATAGCCGCCAGACCGAGACCCAGGCCCAGACGACGGGCGGCGACGGGGCTCTCGCCTGACTGGCAGGCCCACTGGGTTATGGATTTCAAAGAGGTGCTCCTTCAAAAGGCAAAGAACCCTTGTAGGCACTTATGAGAAACGTACTTGGGGCCGGAGGTTGCATTGCAGCATCGCATGTGCATCTGGGGTGTACTCTGGCCATCCTCCTCCTCCTCCTCCTCCTCCTCCTCCTCCTCCTCCTCCTTGTCCTCTTCCTCCCCCTCCTTGTCCTCTTCCTCCTCCTCCTCCTCCTCCACCTCCTCCGCCTCCTCCTCCTCCTCCTCTTCCTCCTCCTCTTCCTCCTCCTCCTCCTCCTCCTCCTCCTCCTCCTCCCCCTCCTCCTCCTCCTCCTCCTTCTCCTCCTCCTCCTCCTCCTCCGCCTCCGCCTCCGCCTCCGCCTCCGCCTCGGCCCCCTCCTCCTCCTCCGCCTCCGCCCCCTCCTCCCTCCTCCCTCCTCCCTCCTCCTCCTCCTCCTCCTCCTTTTGCTCCTCCTCCTCTTCTTCTTATTATTGTTATTATTATTGTTATTATTATTATTAGTATTACTATTATTAATATTATTATTATTACTACTACTATTATTATTATTATTACTACTACTATTATTATTATTGTTGTTAGTATTGTTCTTATTGAGATGATGATTAGTATTAGTATTAGCATTATTGTTATTAGTATTCGAAGTAGTTTTATCAGTATTGTTCTTAGTAGTCGTATGATCCTTGATCGTATTAGTATTATTAGTCATCTCGATATTATTAGTATTCGTCTTATTCGTCTCATTATTCCTGTTCGTATTCTTATTCGTGTTCTTAGCATTATTATTAATCTGATTATTCTTATTATTCTTCCTCCTCCTCCTCCTGCTCCTCCTCCTCCTCCTCCTCCTCCTCCCCCTCCCCCTCCTCCTCCTCCTCCTCCTCCTCCTCCTCCTCCTCCGCCTCCTCTCCTCCTCCTCCTCCTCCTCCTCTCCTCCTCCTCCTCCTCCTCCTCCTCCTCCCTCCTCCTCCTCCTCCTCCCCCCTCCCCCCTCCTCCTCCCTCCTCCTCCTCCTTCTCCTCCTCCTCCTCCTCCTCCGCCTCCGCCTCCGCCTCCGCCTCCGCGCCGCCTCGGCCCCCTCCTCCTCCTCCGCCTCCGCCCCCTCCTCCTCCTCCCTCCTCCCTCCTCCTCCTCCTCCTCCTCCTCCTTTTGCTCCTCCTCCTCTTCTTCTTCTTTTATTAGTATTACTCTTAGTATTATTATTCGTCTTCTTATTCTTATTATTCTTATCATTCGTATTAGTATTCTTATTCTTATTATTCTAAGTATTATTATTACTAGTATTACTATTTTGATTAGTAGTATTATTATTAGTATTACTATTATAGTATTATTATTATTATTAATAATATTATTAGCATCATCATTATTATTATTGGTATTAGCATTATCATTAATATTATTATTATTAATAATATTATTATTATCATTATGATTATTATCATTATTATGATTAGTGTTATTAGTATTATTAGTATTACTATTATTGTTATTAGTAGTAGTGTTCTTATTAAGATGATGAATAGTCTTATTAGTATTAGCAGTATTGTTATTAGCATTCGAAGTATTATTATCCCTATTGTTCTTAGTAGTCGTGTGATCCTTGATCGTATTAGTGTTATTAGCCATCTCGATATTATTAGTATTCGTCTTATTCGTCTCATTATTCCTGTTCGCATTCTTATTAGTGTTCTTAGCATTATTATTAATCTGAGTATTATTGTTGTTGTTTCTCCTCCTCCTCCTCCTCCTCCTCCCCCTCCCCCTCCTCCTCCTCCTCCTCCTCGTCCTCGTCCTCCTCCTCCTCCTCCTCCTCATCCTCCTCCTCCTCCCTCCACATTGCTCCTCCTTCCCCTCCGAATGCATATCCTCCCCCTCCTCCCCCCCTCCCCCCCGCAATCCTCCCTCCTCCTCCTCAGCCTCCTCCTCAGCCTCCTCCTCCTCCTCCTCCTTCTCCTCCTCCTCCCCTCCTCCTCCTCCTCCACCTCCTCCTCCCCCTCCCCCTCCTCCTCCTCCTCCTCCTCCTCCTCCTTCCTCCTCCTCCTCCTCCTCCTCCTCCTCCCCTTCCTCCCCCTCTTCCTCTCCCTCCTCCTCCTCCTCCCTCCTCCTCCTCCTCCTCGCCTCCTCCTCCTCCTCCTCCGCCTGCTCCTCCTCCTCCTCCTCCTCCCTCCTCCTCCTCCTCCTCATCCTCCCCTTCCTCCTCCCTCCACATTGCTCCTCCTTCCCCTCCGAATGCATATCCTCCCCCTCCTCCCCCCTCCCCCCCTAATCCTCCCCCCTCCTCCTCCAGCTCCTCCTCAGCCTCTCCCTCTCCCCTCCTCCTCCTCCTCCCCTCCTCCTCCTCCTCCTCCTCCTCCTCCTCCTCCTCCTCCTCCTCCTCCTCCTCCTCCTCCTCCTCCCTCCTCCTCCCCCTCCCCCTCCCCCTCCCCTCACCTCCTCCTCCTCCTCCTCCTCCTCCCTCCTCCTCCTCCTCTCCTCCTCCTCCTCCTCCTCTCCTCCTCCTCCTCCTCCTCCCATCCCCCTCCCCCCCTCCTCCCTCCTCCTCCTCCTCCTCCTCCTCCTCCTCCTCCTCCTCTCTTCCTCCTCCTCCTCCTCCTCCTCCTCCTCCTCCTCCTCCTCCTCCTCCTCCTCATCCTCCCCCTCCTTCCCCTCCTCCGAATGCATATCCTCCCCCTCCTCCCCCCCTCCCCCCGCATCCTCCCTCCGCCTCATCCTCCTCCTCACCTCCTCCTCAGCCTCCTCCCTCCCTTCACGTCCTCCCTCCCCTCCTCCGTTGCTCCCTCCCTCCCTCCCTCCCTCCCTCCCTCGCTCCCTCCCTCCTCCCCCGAGGCCTGGAACCCCCTCCCTCCCTCCCTCCCTCCCTCGCTCCCTCCCTCCTCCCCCGAGGCCTGGAACCCGCCGCTCCTGCCGGGGCCAGCAGCACGCACTTCTGGCTCTGCCAGGGGTCCGCCCCGCAGTGCTCCACTGGCCGCGCGGGCAGGGCCCGCAACTCTCGCTGCCGCCGCTCGACGGCCATTGCGAGCCGGCAGCGCTGCCGTCGAGGGAGGGGGTGGGAGGGAGGGAGGGAGAAGTGAGGAGGAGGGAGTAGGAGGAGGAGGAGGGAGGAGGGAGGCGGAGGAGAGGGAGGAAGAGGGAGGAGGAGGAAGGAGGAGGAGGAGAAGGAGGAAGGAGGAGGGGGAGGAGGAGGAGAAGAATGAGGGGGGAGGAGGAGGAGGAGGAGGGGGGGGGGGGGGAGAGAAGAAACTTGAGCCTCCCCATCCTGCTCCCCCTATCCTCCTCCTCTTGTTCCTCCTCCTCTCCTCCTCCTCCTCCTCCTCTCCTCCCTCCTCCTCCTCCTCCTCTGCTGCCTCCTCCTCCTCCTCCTCCTGCTGCTCCTCCTCCTCCTCCTCCTCCTCCTCCTGCTCCTCCTCCTCCTCCTCCTCCTCCTCCTCCTCCTCCTTGTCAAGATCTTGTCCTTACGAATGCTATCCAGAAGGGGACCCCAACAGTGTGCTTCTAGCTATAGATGTGGCGACATATACGCGGCTCGATCTATGTGATGCCATATATGGTGTGCAGTCTATGTTGTGCAATATATGCGGTGCAATGTATGTTGTGCAATATCTGTGTTGCGCGATGTGTTGTGCAAATTTATCCGGTGCAACAAAGGTGGGGCAATACATGTGGTGCAAGATGTGTGGTGCGATTTATGTGGTGCATTATGAATTGTGCGACCTACGCGGTGCAATGTATGCAGTGCGATCTATGTTGTGCGATATGTGTATGTTGCGATGTACGTGGTGCAATATATGCTGTGTGATCTTTGTGGTGCAATATGTGCGGTGCGACCTATGTGGTGCAATTATGCCAGGCCGCAAGGAGGCGGCGACGGCGACAACATAGCCGCACAAGTCCAGACGACGGGCTGCGACGAGGCGGCGACGGGGCGGCGACGGCGACAACATAGTCACCAAACCGACGCACAGGCACAGAAGATGGTCGTCAACGAAGCGGCGTCGGGGCGGCGATGGCGACAACATACCCGCCAGACCGACGCACAGGCCCAGACGATGGGCGTCGACGAGGCGGTGACGGGGCGGCGACGGCGACAACATACCCGCCAGACCGACGAACAGGCCCTGTTCCTAGAAATGTCAGCCAGCGTTGACCCCAAACAGTGCCCTTGCAGCATTCTATGTTGTACAACAAATGTATGTATTTAAGCAATACATGGTTTGCAACCCCTGTTGTGCAATCTATGAGCTGCAACCTGTGTTGTGCAATCCATGCTGTGGAAATTCGATTGCGCAACCTACGTTGTGCTCAATCATGTGCGTCTTCTGTGTGGGAAACTTTCAGATTTGGCATTTATATATATATATATATATATGTGTGTGAGGAACAATATATGTGGCGTACCATTTGTGGTGCCATATATATATATATATATGTATATATATATATGTTGTGCAATGTATGGTTTGCAGTCTATGTTGCGTAATCGATGTTGTGCAATATATGCGGTGCAATCTGCATGGTCCCAACCATGTGGTGCAACCGACGTGGTGCAATTCGTGTAGTGCCACCGACGTGATGCAATATGGTGGCGGCGACGGCGGCGGCAGGGCGGCGACGGCGACAGGATAGCCGCCAGACCGACGCACAGGCCCAGCTACGGGCGGCGACGAGGCCGCGACGGGGCGGCGACGGCGGCGACATAGCCGCCAGACCGACAGGCAGGCCCAAACGTCGGGCGGCGACGAGGCGGCGACGGGGCGGCGAAGGCGGCGACATGGCCGCCAGACCGACGCACAGGCCCAGCGCCTTTGATGTTGTTAGCCAGCGTGGACCCAAACAGTGCGTTTCTAGCAATCTAGTTTGTGCTCTACCATATAGACACAGATATGCAAATCTGAATTAACATACATGGTACATATGTATATATATACATACATACATATATACATACATATACATATACATAGCGCAGCCCCCCTCCCAGCTTCCATTGATTTTACGTCGATCGTTGAACGGTTCGCTGTGTCTCTCTCCCGCTCCTTTTGTCCGCTTGTCTCTCTCTCTCTCTCTTTCTACCTCTCTCTGTCCCTCTTGCTCGTTCTCCCCCTCCTCCTCCCCCCTCCTCAAGCTTCTCGTCGTCGTCGTCCTCCTCCTCCTCCTCGCCGCCCTCATCTTCTGAAGCGCACCGGGGGGGAGGGGGGAGAGAAAGAGAGAAAGAGAGAGAGAGAGAGAAAAACAAAAAAAAGAGAGAGAGAGAGAGGAAGAGAGAGAGAGAGAGGTGGGAAAGAGAGAGAGGTGGGAGAGAGAGAGAGAGAAACCAACAAAAATTATCCTGGCGAAGGACCCAACCATCTTCGCCCGCGCCCCCTATGTGGCCACGGCTTCCCGCCGGAGCCCGACATGCTCAGGGGCACGTTCGTGGCCGTCTTCGCGGGCGCCGACGACGACAAGGACGGCGCCCCTCTCACCGAGGAGCAGAAGCAGGAAAGGGCCTTGAGAGCCATGAGGGAGGAGGTGGCGTTGCACGTCGACAAGGCGGAGTACGACGCCCAGGCGCGGTTGTTGAAGCAGCACAACTATGGGGCCACGATCCTCGTGAGGGATGTGCCGCAATGGCCCGGGGCCGCCATGCGAACCCTGCCACTGGCGCCTTCGGTGGAGCTCCAGTGGGTCCACGATCCTCGTGAGGGGTGTGCCGAAATGGCCCGAGGCCGCCATGCGAACCCTGCCACTGGCGCCTTCGGTGGAGCTCCCTATGGGGCGACGATCCTCGTGAGGGGTGTGCCGAAATGGCCCGAGGCCGCCATGCGAACCCTGCCACTGGGGCCTTCGGTGGAGCTCCCTGTGGGGCTACGAAACGCTGTGCTGGGTGGGTGAAACGCAAGGAGGAGGGGGAGGAGGAGCGGGAGCGGCGGGAACGCGGGGCACCGTCTCTTCAAAACGAGGACCCAACACCACAGGATGGTTGGGAAAAATGGGGGAGCAACGATCCCTGTGGAATCACAAGGTTGACGACGTCAGGGGTCGCCCAACCGTGTGTTTTCATTTTGATGTTTGGGATGTCTGGGATTTCCCCCTCCAGAAAAATACTGGAGCCTCCGGAACTTCAGAACCTTAGAAATCCCCCAAATCCTACACATCCAAATGACAACACATGATTTCCCATCCCATACATCCCAAGCATTACCATGAAATAACATTACTTGGCGACGTCGCTAAACCTGTGATTCAACAGGGATCGCTGCTCCCTCAAGACTCTCTCTCTCTCTCTGGATATATCCCCTTCGCGTTTCCTTCAGAAGGGGAGGAGGACGACGAGGAAAAGGAGGAGGAGGAGGGGGAGAAAGAGCAACAGAGACAGAGAGAGGGACACTGAGAGACAGACTGAGGGAGAGGTAGCGAGAGAGAGAGAGAGAGAAACCGACAGAGAGAGAGAGAGAAACAGAGCGAGAGAGAGAAATAATGAGAGAAGTAGAGAGTCTTTAAGAACCAGCGGTCCCTGTGGAACCACAAGGTTTGCGACGTCAGGGGTCGCCAAACCTTGTATTTTCATTGGGAGTTTTGGGATTACTGGGATGAGAATCAAGGGAACCTTGTGCTTCCATTTGGATGTTGGGATTTCTGTGATTCCCAAGGTTCTGAAGCTCCGGAGGCTCCTGGATTGCTTTCATCTATAAAGAGAAAACCCCCAAATCACAAAAAAACATGAAAAAACACAAGGCTTCTCTGATTATCAGCCCAGAAATTCTAAACATCCAATTCAAAACACAAGGTTAAGCGACCCCTGACGTCACTAACCCTGTGATCCCACAGGCATCGCTGCTCCCGCAAGTCTCTCTCTCTCTCTCTCTTCCCTGTGCGCTTCAGAAGAGGAGGAGGACGACGAGGAAAAGGAGGTGGAGGATGAGGAGCGCACGTCCATCGGAGGTGCCGCAGTTAGTCCCTCGTGAGCGCCGCATGGCGGATCGACAGTTGAAAGGTGTAGCTGCCATACTGATGCGGAGATTCGATCAGTGCAGCTCGCAATTTATGGAAGATCGAGTAGGCGAGCGCCACAAGATCGTGAGCTACATTAATGTTCAGGTCGGTATCTTGATACTCCTCCTCCGTGCCCAAGCCAAGCCAGAGGTACGGAGGAGCGGTGGGGATAAAAAGACGAGGAAGCGCAATCATGTGCAGCAGACGAGGACAAGAGAGGTGGTGGAGGAACGAGTCGGGGGAGTCAGGGCAGCCAAACCTGCATGGGAGAGGCGTGAGGATCTTCACACGGTGGCTCGTGATCCACGCTCCTGTGAGAGACTTCATACGCGCCCAAACTCTTGCTGGTGCTGACTTCATCAGTACCGCACGGAGGGCTAGCCATCTGTCACGGGTGGAGTCTATGGAGGGGCAGATCTCTTCTGGAAACCAGGTGCTTATTCGAGCATGTATGCGCTCGTGGAATCGATCTGGATAAACTAGTGTCGTGAGGCACTGAATGAAAACGCTTTGCGGCCGTTTTTTCCTCCCCCCACGACGACGACGATCACGCCCAGGCCCGTCCCTCCCCGAGGTCATAGCGAGAGCGGCCTCGCGCGCGGTAGCACATGCTCGGATCAGAGGAGCAGGAGGAAAAGGGAGGTCACGGCAGGAAGTGAAGAGCCTATAGTACTGGAGGATGCCTTTTTCATTCTGCCAGCATTCCGCTGACATCAGTTGTTTGCGAATTCGCATGTGCAGCCCGTGAAGATCAACCCCCTCCCACCACCAGTCAAAGCCCTCCTCCCAACCTCGAAGGGTGTACATGCTTGCTCGCCATGCATTCGCAAGGGCATATATACGGACGCTCGTGATGGTGGCTGCCTTGAGCCAATTCTTCATGCTGAGAAAATCATGCAAGGCGAATGAGCTTGGTGGCATGCGCAAAAGCTTGTGAAGAGCATAGTATTCTTTCTTCATAATCTCCGCACAGAGTGGGAAGAA